TGCGCTTTACACAATTGATGTGTGTATGGGTTGTGATAAGAGTTGTATGAGCCCCTAATAAAATGATTTTAAAAAATAATAAAATAAAAAAGCACAATAAAAAACAAACAAACAGCATCTTAAAACGACGACTGGAAAGAGATAAAACAGAACCTAAGTAAAATGGAATTAGGAAATTCCTTCTTAGAATACTTAAGGTCGGTTAAAAACAAAGAAACAAAAACCACCAAGAGAGGAGTCGGCTTTACCACTGTATTTCCAAAGCACCCTGTTGCTCAAATAAAACACTAAAATTCAATTTCGCCTGAGTGGAATCTCTGGTCTGACATTTGAGGCTTAGCCAAGGGCAGTCCAGTTTACTTCTTGTATAGCAAGAGTACTTGTCCCTTCTCTCCTTCTTCTGCACGTTACCAATGAACTTCAAGCTAAAGGAGCAACTTCCACAGAAGTGCGGATTCCCTTTCTCCAAGTTCCCCAGGGTGACGACAACTCCAGTGCCTTTAAACGCCAAGTGTTTCACTTTCCTTTTCCCAGAAATCCTGCGGTGACACCACCGGAGCAAGAGCAGCTCAGCCTTTGCAACGCGGGATCAGGATCATGAGTGATCACTGACTGGAGCAAAGGCGCTTGGAACGGAGCCCAGGCGAGCGGATCGGGTCCAGCCTGGCCCCTGGGGCTACCAGCGCACTCCCACCCGGCCCCAGACAGAAGGACGCGCTAGCCCAGGCGCCCTCACCGGGACTTCGCCCACCGCTTCCTCGGGAAGGGTCGTACCTGCCCAGCAAGGAGGCGCAGAGGGGCACCGCGGGCGGGGAAAACCCCACTCGCCAAGTCCAGCTCCCTCATCGCCGTCTCGCCACCCCCACTCCCCAAGCCCCAAGGGCCGTTACCTAACTAACCCGCTCCTCGGGCCAGAAGTCCCCGCGCGCTCATCCCAGCCGGCGTAGCCCGAGGCCAAGAGGCCGCCTGCCCACCGAGGGTGGGCGCTCCGCGGGGATCCCCGGAGCCCGCCCAGCCGACCCCGCGGCGACGGCGGAGACCCCGGCCCCGAGTCGCACGGGCCAGCGGACGGCGCCTGTCGCCCGCCGGCCCGCCTCAGCCCCTCGCCGCGCCCCCCTACCGCGCGCTGCAGGCCCCGCCTCCTGTCGTCCATCCCTCCATCCCTCCCCAGCCACTCTCACCCATCCCGGC